GAGGACAATAAACTAACATTGTTTGCTGCTCAGTCAAGTAAGAGTGATGTCTGCTGTTTTCCACACTACACCTCTCTGCGTGACTATAAGAAAGCATCTTTATTCTCTTTATGAATACAATAAATCTGGTCTGTGAGTAGCATTTTCAAATGTCAAATGTTTCATTTTTCACAATTTGCTGATATAATAATTTGTTCAACTGCACACTTCTGATCATAAATGCTAGCCAGACCTCAAAACTCCAAACTGCTGTCAAAAGTCACAGCTGGGGGCATCCTTTCTCTGCGACAGAGCCAAAGATACACCCTGAAAATAGTCACAGACATTGCCTCTGTTATGTGGCAATAAATACAGACTGACGCAACTGCTTGTTGTTGCCACAAGTCTTCAAAAATGACAGCTGAAATTGACCAAAAAGGCACCCTGTCGAAAGTATTGTGGCAGACAGCAACATCCTATTTTTGTACCAACACAGTACACCATTAGAATAACTGGATGAATGTGACACGCTGGACCGCCTGTAGCCTTCTAGACAATGCTTCAACGGAAGTACTAATTAAACAAAAAAGTTGTTTTTTTTGGTTTTTTTTTCTTCAAATGTGCTAATGGCTGAGTTTTATATACAGTGATCTTTTTCTTGTTTGCTTGTTTTACTGGTGGCTGGAGCCTTCTGACTGCAGCTGCAGTGACATAATTGTAGGAACAATCAAAATGTGAAACACTTCCTTCCAGGTCCCACACCTAAACGTAAGAAGAAATTAATATTTTATTACATATATTTGACCTTTTTTGACCTTGCCTCTGTCAGTGCGCCCCAGGGTGGCTGTGGCTATGACGTAGCTTGCCATCACCAGTGTGTGAATGTGTGTGTGAATGGGTGGATGACTGGTTGTGTAAAGTGCTTTGGGGTCCTTAGGGACTAGTAAAGCGCTATACAAATACAGGCCATTTACCTTTTTTTTCTTCACAATCTGCTGCAGCATGTGGGTGTTTGTATGGGTAAACAACACCAGCATGTTAAATGGCAGCAGTCGTATAAACAGCATACAGCCGGATGGTGAATATGACTCTTTCTGCAAATGTAACAAACCAATTGGGAAGCCGTCTAAATCTGCATATTTTAACAGCTGTTACTGCAGCCCTTAGAGGCCATGGGTCATAAGCCATTTGTGCAGGCAGAAATTATGACCCATCGTTATGTTTTAAAGTTAAGCGACCATTAAAGGAATAATTGCACAGAAAATACAGTATGGAGTCATCAACTTTTAGGTGGAGATTAGGTTAAAGTCGCCACCCTGGAAAGCTTACAGAATGAAGCTTCCTAATGTGTGACAATATAAAGGGGTATATTTTAAAACAAAAAAGCCCTCATTAAAATGTTTTTTGTGCCAAAATGTTGCGCTCTAAAAGTAGTTATAAAACGTACATTTTTCTGAATCGTTGGGAAAATCTTTAAAGACTATTCTTATTTAATTGTGTTTTGTTTTTGGACACATTTCTAGTTAATTTTTGTAGTTTACTAGCTCCAGGAGGTCAGAGTTCAGACGTGTGATGTCATCAGTAAGCGCAGAAAAACAAACAGTGGCTGTATCCCAATTCAGGGTCTGCAGCCTTAAAATACGCAGCCTCAACGATCCTCAAGGGCCGCGTACTCAAAGACCGCTAAGGCCGGAAGTGCGAGGCTTGTGAAATGGGACGGTCTAGCCTCCGTTGCGCTGCCCAGGTTGCCTAGCAACCATGATACTAACAGCTGGAAACGTGTCATACAGCTTTGTTTGACAGAAATGAAGGAGAAAATCTTTTGTTCATTTGTTTGTTTCTTTCTACATGAGCTCTGATCATTCTCTGTAAGATTAAGCTCAGCTATTGAACGGCGTATATTTTAAAGTAAAGGCTTTAAAACCAAGTTAGTACAAACGTCACTAATGTCATGGTCCTGGGTCATTTTGGCCCAGCGTTTTGTGTTTCCTTGAAGTTCATTTTTGTGCTTTGTGTTTATTCTGATTTTGTATTGGTTTAGGGTTGAACCTGTAGTTTGGTGTGTGTATTCAGCCCTACCTGTGTCTGTCCTTGGTGCTCTGTTCATGTCCCCGTGTTGTGTTGTAAATCAGTCTGTGTGTTCCTGCTTTACTTTGAAGGCTCATGTTCTGGATTTCCTATTCTATTTTGAAGGTCTGTGTCTGTTGTCATTGTGTTCAGCTTGTGTCCTCCGGTCCTCATGTGTATTAGGTTCAGCTGTTCTTCCCTCCTGTGTGTGATTACCTGATTACCTTGTGTGTGTATATTTAGTGGGTGTCGGTCTGTGTTCATTGTCGGCTCGTCTGCGTTCTATGGTGTTCCTGTCTCTGCGTCTCTCTGCCCCGCACCCCTTTTGTATGGTCTCAGGTTTGTCATTTAGTTCTCCCAGTTTAGGTTTCTTCAGTTGTTTTGTCATGCCTCACTGCCTGTTTCTGCCATTGTCACTTTGTAAATAAACATCACTCGTATCATCAGTCACTGCTGCATTTTGGGTCCTCCCTTTCCTCCACACCACACGGCTCACTCCGCCAGCCGTGACAACTAATGTCACATAACTTTGCCGACATGTGGCCAACAGTAATGTTTTAATGTTCTTCGTTATTAAACATTTGCACATAAATAAGTGACATAATATTCAGTACTTACTTAAAATTTACTCTTCAGCTGCCCCTCATCCGCCGTTTTTTTTCGGCAAAATTATCCACACCCACCGCCGCGCTATGCATTCTGGGATATGTTGGACCACGAAGTCTACACTGCCACAGCCTTAAGATTCAGGGAAATGAAGGACTCATTTCAGGGCCGCATTTCGAGCAGCCTTTGAATTGGGACAGCCTTCGGCGCGCCGCTGTGACGTAATCGGCCTTGAAATGCGTACTTTAAGGCTGCAGACCCTGAATTGGGATACAGCCAGTGTCTGAGATGTGGGAGCAATGTTTTGCTGATGATACGCTATGCTGCCTGTAAACTCCAAAACTGAACTGAGGAGAATAAAGTTGCAAAAAGGAGAATGGAGTCATGTCTCTCTGAGGATGCAACAAAAACCCAATCACACTATTAAGAGAAAATGTTAACAGTGATTGAAATGAAAGCCATTACCAGGTTGACTCCATTTCCAGTTAGCAGGACAGTTTATTAGTTGTTACAGAGAATGATTATGAGTTTGGACTGATCAGGTGTCATTTATCCATGCTCCAGTAATATCTAAACGTGTTCCCCCACAGTCTTTCCTGTTAGATACATTCAAGCTAATTGTGTTTTCTGCTTTAATGTTTTTTCCACAATACTTTTTAAACAAAAAAGTGAATTTCTTTTGAAAAATCACTTCACTAAAAAGATGGCTTTTTGGGCGTCCAGCATGATGCTGAGTGAAGCAGTTACCGCTTTCTGCATCACTTCACTTTTCTTTAATGTGAGAAAGAGACAGTTTGGAAACAAGCCAGACGCTCAGTGGCTCGTGAAGGAAAGGGACTCCTAAGATAATCTGACAAGACCGGGTGATGACAGAGTGATGAGGGGAAACATTACAAATATCTTTATGTATGAAAAAATATATGTATATGTATGAAAAAAACAAACAACAAAGGAAGACAAGAACCGGTATCTACACTGATAATAGAGGCAAAGGTGTTCAAGTTTGTTATCTTTTTCTCAGCATAAGGAAAATTGGTAAGAGCTTTTAGACAAATTACCTTGTGTCTTCAGGGAAACGAAGGGCGAGAGATAGGATACGGTCAAGTTCAGAAGTTTTACCAGAATTTGTCTTTTTTCTAAAACTTTTTGTCTTCTTGTGTTTGAAGTGATTTTATATTATGGTGAATCTAGAAATGTCCACCAGTCAGTCGTAGCATTGCGACCACCTGCCTAATATCATGTTGGTCCCTCATTTGCTGACTGGTCGAGGCATGGGCTCCGCTCAACCCCTGAAGGTGTGCTGTGGTACCAAGATGTTAGAAACAGATCCTTTAAGTCTCGTAAGAGAGGTGGCACTTCCATGGGTTGAACTTGTTTACCTAGCACATCCCGCAGAGGTAAACACCTTAAACTCGTTGTTGTGCTCCTCAAACCATTTCTGAACCACTTTTGCTTTGTGGCAGGGAGCAATTCTGCTGAAAGAGGCCACAGCCATTCAGAATACACTGTTCGCTTGAAAGGGCGGTCTGCAACAATGCTTGGTGCTAAGCATCAAAGTAACATCCATATGGATGGCACGACCCAAGACTTCCTATTAGAGCTTGCCCAAAGCATCACATTGCCTCCACTGGTTTGCTTTTTTACCCAGATTTCATTGTGGTGCCAAACCCACTGGGCCATCCGCATGATGTTTGCAGCTATGCAGCCCCATACGCAATAAACTGCGATGCACTGTTTGTCCCGACACCTTTCTTTTAGAATCAGCATTACATTTTTTGACAGTTTGAGTTACAGTAGCTCTTCTGTTCCATATTTACTCCCCGCGTGCATCACTGAGCCTTGGCCACCCATGACCTTGTTGCTGGTTCACCACTGTTCCCTCCTTAGACCACCTTCAACAGATACAGTACTAACCACTGCAGACTGGGAAAACTCTGACCCAGTCATCTAGCATCACAGTTTGACCCTTTTCAAACTCGCTCAATCCTTATGCTTGCTCATTTTTCCTGCTTTAAGAACAAAATGTTCACTCCACGCTCCCTAATATATCCCAACCACTTCCCACGATAAAGAAATAATCACCTGTCAGTGGCTATAATGTTATGCCTGATGGATGTATATTCTGTACTGTAAATGTACAAAAAAAAGTATCCATGCTATCCATGACATGGAGATTGGAATATAGTCTGAGTAGTTTCTGGAAGCTTATTTTTACTGTGAGTCTGACAGTTGCAGTTCAGTGCAACTGGCACCAACGAGACACATTTCAAGTCAATGTGGAGGATTGTGCAGACTGCGAAGTCTTGTTATCACTTAAATTAAAAACTGATTGAATGCCACAAGCTTACCCTTTTCTTGTCAGTTGAGGTCTGCTTGCTGGCAAACTGCCTGAAGGGCTTTGGATGAAATTCATCTTTATCCTCTATTGTCAGTCTTGGAATGGCCGTCATCAGGCGAATGACCGGTTTTGTCTGGATAGTACAATTCAGACATTTGACAGCACAAAGGAATTAATTCTGATAAGCAGCTCATAAATTCTCCTAATTCAGCAGATGAAGGAGCGTGATCACATAAAGAATGTGTACCTGTTTGCGACCCAGCAGCTTTCTCTCCACGTCGGCGGATGGGTGCAAGCTGCATAAAGATGCCTGAATAAATAAGTTAGAGGAAAAAAAGAAATATTAACACAATTACTAATGCCTCTCACAAAAGTTAAACACTGATAACCGAAAGCACTCCCGCCTTCTTCTCTTTCAATTAATTATGATATTTGCCATCAGAGAGAAAACATACACAACTGGGAGAAGTAATTTATTTTTGAGTTTTTATGATAGCATAAATACATAAACATCTGGTTGCAAATCAGATTAATTATTCTTACTCAAAATAACGGAAAATTATTCTGTTCATGCAAGAAGATATACAATTTAGAGGAAAATTAAGTTTTAAATTGGAGTTTAATGAACCCAGGAATAAGGTTTTATTTGTGAGCTTGCTAATAAACTGTTGCTATGAGCTGAAGTAGCTTCAACACATGATAGCACGCTGTTTTGAACCTCTTATACGTGCATACTTATGCAGTAAGCTACTTTATAAATGACCCGTGTTCCTGGTGAACTGTGAAATCTGTCAGAAGCTCAGTACAAACACAGACCGAGAGGATGGAGTCTATCCCTGCTGTCCTAGTGCAAGAGCACACCTTACAGCCCATTTAGAATCAATAGTGAGCCCAACATGCATGTCTGTGGACTGTAGGAGGAAGCAGAGGGAACCCACGCACTGTAGGCACAGGGAAAACATGTAATCTCAGATTCAAATTCTGTGCTGTGAGGCGACATTAATCACTGCACCACTGTGCCACCAAGTTTTTTGAAGCTGGTTGAAATTTGGCAAGTTCTATTTTATAATATTCAAATAGCAAATGTTTTGGAAAATCTTCGAGCCACCTTCAAGTTCCTGATGAAAAATATCTCACCTAACACCTCACAGTGAAAAAATGATTTGCTCGCCATGTCCTGTGAATTTTGGAATAAAAGCATCTGAACAACACTGAGAATAAGCACCGTCAGCAGCAGGTTGTTTATCCTGTGGGGTAAAAGCTGAGAAAAACAGAAAGCATTTGCCTTTAATTCAACGTGCAAAACTACCTGACCTCTACTCACATATTTGGTTTCACGTCCCAACGATTTTGAAAATGATGAGTTTTTTGGCTGGAAATGAAGAAGAATAACAGAAACTGAATGACACAAGCTGGATGTCAGGGAAAAAGAAAGAATCATCAAACGACTCATTCATTTGTAACTGTGATGGTCATTTTTTAGAAAAGAAATTAATGAAAAAATGATCTAAAGAAGTCCTTGGAGAACATGAATCATGGTCTCTCCAGAACGCGTCTCTTTATTTTCTCAGACTTGAATTTAACATGTTTTCTTGTTACACAACACAGTTTCTCTTGTTAGCTATTGAAAAATTGATGTTTTCATGAATACTTTCCCCCCTGCTGAGTTTACACAAGCATCTAGCTTAAGAGCACACATCCCATGGATGACATTTTCTCTCTCTCACACACTTGTTTTCTCTGCAAACTATAGGAAGCATTCTCCTTTGATAAATAATGGACAGATGTCCTTTCATTTCTTGTGCTCATATAGTTAAAATTCACTTTTATCCACTTCCTGCTTGTGCTTCAGTAAAACAGTATACAGAGGACTCATTTCTTCAGTTCCAAAGCTACTACAGTTCTTTATTTATCTTTTCTATATCGTTTTTACTTCAATGGTTCACACTTTTAGTTATATATAGACACACATATACATTTTCTTTCTCTCTTTTATTTGTTTTTGGGTGTGTTTTTGTGTGAAAGCTGCTTGCCTGCTCCTTTTAAAAATGATGAAACTGCAATTAGGATGCAAAATGATGACACTGATTCGCATTGTTATTCTGGGTGCAAAGAGCATGTGTTTACTCGTTTGCTTTTTATTGACCTAAACAAATTCTGCACTAAAGAACTGAGATGACAACGCTTTAGTCAGCTTTGCATCACTGTGTGTGCAAAATTTGCAGTGTGAACTTTTAACAGTTTTTACAAAAAGAAAGACAAAAAAAAGATAAAAAGAGGAAAAAATTAAGTTTTGTTAATCATCACAAACTGGACAAGATGATGTCGTTTTAGAGTGGTAGCTGACAAAGACACAGTCAGCTACCACTAGTCCCAGAGACCTAGAGAACAGCCAGTGACCTTCATGGAAACTACCAGTCGCTAGGGGAAACTGTCTAACTGGCTGTTGAGTGGGGAACTCATTCGCAGAGCAGGGGGGGGAAACCAAGAATCTGCTCATGATTGATTTGGTCACCAGCAGACAGTCATCTGTAGTTTGTATTCAAGATGCCATTTGTCTGTAAACACTCGCTAACTAACCACCAAGCAAAAGAATGTGAAACTACAGACGGAGGATGTTCACCTTCAAAGTAAAAGCTGTAACCCACGTGTTTCAAAAGGGGCAGCTTTTGTGATGATTGCAAATGGGTTCTGTTTCCAATTTGCTCAGTGAGCAGGTTGGTGAGTATTTGCAGACAAGTTGACATCTTCCATATAAACTGATTGCTGCAATCTTCCAGTGAAGAAAACAATCAGATCAGCCAGTGCAGGGTAAGCTAAGACTTTCCATAGACAGACAGTCACAAAGCAGTGAGCAACAGGAAAAGAGTCAAATAAATAAGAACATTTTAGCAGCCAATATAAAGACATAAAATGCAATCAATAGAATTCCCAACAGAAGGCGTGTTTAGTCTAAAATGTTTTTAACTGCTTCTTTTAAAAGATTCCACAGAGTCGATTTAGTGCAGTTGTAGTGACTGAAAGCTCTTTAGTTGTGTACGAGGAAAAACTAAGCGATTCTGAGCCTGTGAACGACGACTGCGAGCAGCAGTGTCCTTGGAGATAAATAAACTTCTTTGTGACTGATTTCACCTGGGACTGGGCCAAAGATTGATCTGACACCATTCTCAGATGTGTCCCAGTTGAATATGAAGCTGGAGTCAGCAGCCAGTCACCTTAGGTTAGTATAAAGACATGCTCCATCTAAGCATAAAGTGTGTATGGAAAAAAAAATGACATGGCCTCCGAGAGTGAAACATTTGAATTAAAGCTGCATTCTGTATAATAGGATCCGGGAGTGACTCATGTGGCAACAAACTCAAGTTCAATTTAATAGAAGTTTGTGGAAAAATGACCATACTTTTGGATTTACTGCCAGGTTAAGCTTTTTATGTCTTTGATACAGCACGATGCTAATCTCAGAAAAATACAGTTTTAATCATTTTGATAAGAAATCAGAAAATAAGACAGGTTATGATCATATACAGGTGCGTACTTCACTGTGGGCTCAGATCCCACGTTTCCTCCCTGTTTCACATTATTTGCAAATTAAAATACTTGTTAGCTAAGTAACGTGTTTAATCCTCCAACTTCTTAGTTTTAAAGTGATAATATCTTGGTGTAAAAATTTCAAAGGAAAATAGCTCACATGCTGTTAAAGAGATCTTTTACCTGCAGACCATTGTTGGTTGTTGATGACCTGGTGGACTACAGTGGCAGGGTTGTGTTGGAGTTAAAGGATTAAAAAAAAGAAACCTGTTAAGTGACTTTCAGCACCACATTTATACTTGTTTAATTTCATATTAATAGTGAAATAAAACACCAAACTCACTGCAGCAATGGAATTTGCCAATATCTCATCAATGACAGCATAAAGTTCCTCAGACTGCTGCCGGAGCTGAGCAGGCGAGCACATCTGTGGAGAGCACAGACTTATTGATGCCGTTTCGCAACGTGTGCGGTAAATAACGGCGGCGATGTGTGCTGTGGTACCTCAGTGTGGGTGTCTGATGCGATGCCTGTGTTCAGCGTGTCACAGGAACTCATTTCTCTCTCGACCTGCTCATCTATGGCCTGTGAATGCAAAGAGAGAGAAGAAATTGAGCTCCCCTCCACCACTAATGGTTTCACTGGAGCAATAGCACGCAATTCATTACATCTCCTCCAGACAATTCCTGTTGATCCACTCTATATTCTTCACAGGCATAACTCCTTCGTCTACATGTATCATACAGAGGTGTGAATGTGTTTTCATGTCTCCCTGAGCATGATATGACTTTTAATAAAGCTTTAAGAAGTACTGTCCTTGCAGCTGCTGTTAAGTCCTTCTGAAATGAAGGAACAAAATGTCTTTTTTTTGCAGTTTCTAAATCTGATTAGTGCATCTCAAGATTTATCTTAAATTACTCACATCATGCTCACCATAGCAACACTGGCTGCAACATTAGCGCTTCGTACTGTATGGCTTGCCATTTAACAAGGCAAATTAATGGGATTAGAGCCAGAAATGAACTCACTTGCTGATCCAGTAGCAGGGTGTTTGTGGGAATAGCGGCGAGGGATTTGTAGCTTAGCGTAATTTTGTGTGTCTGGAGACAGAAGAGCAAACAATATGAATATAAATGTAATTACAATTTAAATTTTATTGAAGATAAACTTTGTAGACAGTCTGGTGGAAATTGTTTTATAGGCATGCTCTATCTCCTGTTAGTGCTGGCTGCTTATCATGCAAAACAGTCAAACTCAGAGTTGTCCAGCAGTGTGAGCCGAAGTGTGTTAGCCTGTGGAAACTACATCACTTTGCTGCAGAGGAGGCCTGTTTGATGGATTACATTATGAACAAACTTAGTTTTCCTTCACCGACGGGCAAGAAAACTGGATGAGTGTGTTATCAACTTCTTTTGCCCCTGCTGGCTCGAAATAAATTGAATTCCTGGTGGTTAATACTCTGAATTTTGCACCCATTCGGTTAATGTCGGCTTTAAAAAAAAACCTTTTTAGACATTGGAAAAGTGCACTTGAAACTGTTGCAAAGGAACAAATGAGCACTGACAAAGACAAATGGATAAAAGACACATCTAAAATCAGCTCCACATAGACGATGCCGCTTGATATCCACATGTCAAGTGCGAGAAGTCTGTTTTTAGCCACGCAGCATGTGAGAACAGTATGTCAGAGGGAACACAGTAAAAAATATCCTCACTTTAAACGAGTCATGCACACGGCACAGATAGAGGCTACCTTTCTTTTTTTACCCTCCCTGTCACTGTAGTCTGATATTCCACTCCCCAGCCTTGGTGAGGGTGTGGAGCGCAGGGAGAAAGGGGAAGGGGTGAGATCTCTGATTGGTGGAGCAGGAGAGGGCGTTGGCGTGGGAGAGCTGGTGGGTGAAGGCCATCCAGAAAAAACAATGGGCGTGTAGCAGGAAGGCGACAGACAGGGAGCTTTGCGAATGCCCTGCGAATGTGTGGCACCTGTGGGGTCGAAGTGGCTCCTCTCTAATTCGTACCTTCCTGTGGGATTTCGTGGAGGAGGGAGAGGTGATGCTGTGTCAGCACGAGCGGGGAAAATCGTTGCACATGAGTGAGAAGGCTCAGGATGAGGGGGGAAGACAGGCGAAGATCTCAGTTGCTGAGAAAGCCAACGAAGCTTTGAGAGAGATGAATTTGGCTTGCGACTCCATTTCTGGGGCGTGGAAGTCTGTGGCTCGTTAATGAGTTTGGGGGACGGGGAGATGAGTTTTTTAAGGTTATTATCCGCACTGCCCTTGAGGAACGTGTGATTACTGCCGGGCTTCAGCTCAGGGAGTTTGGATATGGAGATGTGTGTGAGGGGCAAGGTTTTGGAAGTTGTACAGACTGTTTCTTCATGCTTTGGTGGAGAAGCAGAGAGGAAGTTTGAGCAAAATACAGGAGCTCGGGGTAGCGTGAAATTCACTGGCTCTGAGCGTCTTTGCACTTGAGATGGCGTGCACGTTCTGTTGAGCTCATTTGACTGACATGTTGGTTCCCTGCAATGGTGGTTCTGAACGTCTATAGATGCCAGTGAGGAGAACCGAGACGAAAACTCGAGGGGAATGGAGGCCACGCTGGAGGCTGCTGAGCACGCGTTACAGAAGGACAGTGTTACGGGGTTAACAGGCCAGCAGGGGGTGTAAGGTCTTTGCAGCGCTGAGGACAGAACAGGAAGACGACCTTTTCTCAGGATGGCAGTGAGGAGAGAGAGTCGAGTGAGAGGAGGCCGATGCCGGGGAGGAGGGTTCTGGGAGAAGACAGAGGAGGAGAGGCTCTCACAGGATGAGAAGCAGGTCTGAGGGATGTGGATCAGACTAGAGCCTGGAGCAAGAAAGTGCCTCTTGACCTGGATCACAGAAGGGGTGAAGACACCAGAGGGGACGGATGAGCAGGGAGAAATGGTACGGCTTAACGAGGCAGGAGAAGTGACCGAGGAAAGCTGCACGGCGGACCAGCTCTTCTCTCTGTCCGAGGCATCTGAGAGGATGGACTCCCTGGAAGAAGCCAGTGTGGGAAGCAGGTCTCCAGAGTCTGCGGGGCTTAATATGTCCTCTGACCCTGGCGTTCTATTTGCACAGCAACCCAAGCTAACCTCAACATGTCTGGAGGTGTGGTGACACTGCTGCTGGGAAATGTCCCTGTGTTTATCAGCGCCTGTTTCCATGGAGGCCGTCTCTGCGGCTGCGTGGTTGGGTGTATTTTGAGACTGGGCACTGATTGAAAGAGAGGATTTGGTTTGAGAGAGGCTGGCACGAGCTGGAGAAGTCTTCAACTGAAAAACAAAAAGAAAGAAAAAAGATAGTTTGGGGTTTGGTTTTATTTTCGTTTTCTTTCCTGCGTCTTATGTGAAAATTCACACCTCAGGAAGCAATTACTGAAAATGGACTTTTCCTCCACTTTCTTAAAAGCCCAGATATACCAAAAATGCTACCCCTGCAAAATAGCGTTTGTAACAAGCTTGTGGCTGGTTTATGAAATTACTTTGATAAAAACACCATCTGACCCCCTGCAAAAGCACGACTGAAATGTACTCATTATAGACACTAGAACTCTTGTATTTTTAGAGTCCAATTAAAATGTCACATTTGAAAAGCAGCACACGCACACCTTGGACAGTCGTTTCATTTTTAAATTAATTTCCTGACAGTGCCTTTTTAGTGAATGTCAGCTTACCAAATTCAACTTTACATTGTTAATTAAGACCCTTCAAAGATACACACTGTGTGTATACATGTACACACACAAACACATATCTACATCACATTAAGTCAAATCCTTTTAGTTCTACATTGCTCGTGACATTGAGAGTTGTACTTACTTGCGGTAGGGTTACATTTCCTGCTCCTCCCTCCACAGAGTCGTTAATTAAGACCCACTCTGCTCTGATAATCTCCCCGTCTGATACACTTTTCCTGCTGGTCTTCTCGTGGGACACGGCTCCGTTCTGACAGGGGAAAATGAAGCAAATGTTAAACAGAAACTTAGCGAGTGAAACCCGAGGTGATCATCAGTGACCCTTTCTGAGCTCGGGGTGTGTTTGGTTTCTACACGCCACATCCCCCCACACATATAACTCACATGGGCACGCACATGTCCTGCAGACACCGGCGTAGTACACGCGTCATGTGAGCTTCTGACGCTGGGTCTGTGTACATGCCAAAGTATTAATAAAATGTAAAGTGACAGCAGAGAGTGTGAAACATTAAAGCCTTGTTGTTTTTGTGTATTACAGTAACACGGCGTGCTTGCCACTAGACGGAATTTAAATTTTGCGCTTGTGGTGTCCTTTTGACCTTAATCCTCTTACCGGGGGATAATTAGAAAGACGAGGTAGTAGCAAAAGAAACCTTTAAAAGGTTTAAAGGTTTAACCTTTTAAGGCTCTGGCAGGATCCTTCTCACCTGAGGATTTGCACCTTCTGAACCCATTTCTCCAGATCCCAACCCAATCAAAATATATAGCTATGTGTATTTTAGACAGAATGAAGTCAAACAAAAAATTAAGCGCTTGCAACAATCAGGATAACAGAGCATCCTTAAGGTTTATATTCCGGACTGAATATCCAAATAATAACCTGTGGAAACATTGGGAAGGCTGACTTCCAGGAAGTATCGCAGGTCATGTACTAATTGGAAGGTTGGTGGTTCAGTCTCTGGCTGCCCTAGTCTCCAGTCTGCATGCTTAATTATGTTTGGGGAAGATACTAAACCCCAAGTCTCTGATGTATTCACCAGAGTGTGAATCTGTGTAAATGGTACATAGAAAGCACTCACATGTAGGAAAAAGTGCTTGTGTGAATGGGGCCTGTTGTATAAAGCACATAGAAGTTTTATATAAGAAACATCTCTGACTATATAGCTACAATTTCAGAAATATATTCCATATTAGAAGCGTAAAATCTTCTATGGTGTTTAATTATGTTGAGTAAATGTCTGTTAGAGGAAACGTGAGCACCCAGAAGACCCACGAAGGTGCAGGAAGAGCTCTATGCTGACCAGCATGTTTGAACCAAGAAGCTTTTTGGTGTGAGGCGACAGCTAATCTTTTTGATATAGTCAGCACTGAACCTGTTTGTTTTACTTTCATTTCTGACTTTTCCTTTCTGGTGTTTGGTTAAAGTTGGGCAACAAAGCTGTGTGGTTAGACTTAGCAAAAAAAAAAGAAAAGAAATAGAATTTGGTTTAAAATGCACCGTTTCACAGTGTTAGTCACATATTTCCAGGCAAACTGGTAAGTTGTAAAGCTAAGTTTCCTGAGTCACGACACCGGCAGTGCACATATTCCTGCAGCCTTGTGGCATACATTTTAGACACTGAAGAACTTCAAATGAACTCTATTAAGTTAAGTTCACATTATTTAGAACATTCATTTCACTTTGTGTTGCAGAGGCCAACACTGTTTAAACCTAGTGCCACAGATAACCAAAAATGAGGCCTTTTCATTGTTTTCCATATAATTAATATTAGTGAGTGAACTATAAATGCATTTCAGGAATCCAGTTTAAAACAGGATTATCTGTGAAAATACATGTTGAGCTAAAACGTGTAACTGCTCATTATATGAATCATTATAGATATGAGCACACTCTCCCTGGCATGGCAATTAGGGTGCTAAATATACATACAACATTATCTTATAATGACAACCTTCAGATTTCTGAACCAATTAAAAAATTCTCTGTATTTTTCTTTTGCCTGTAATGCAGAGGAGCAGTAATCAAAGCAATGAAAAGCTGCCAGAAGGACATTCATTTCTGGAAGTGTGTGCAGCATAAATGTCATCTAATGTCAGTAAGCTTATCAAACACCTTGTGTCAAATGTCATTATATTTAGAACCTATATGAAAGGGATTTTTCTTATCTAAACTAAGTGCCATTTAAAAAAAAGTAATGTTAATGTAAGTGATAAGATAAATTATTGCCTCTATGATTGTCAGGGTCCTGGGTCTGAGCAACCCAGGATCCCTGAGCAGTTATGAATTATATTATTATTATTATATGTATTTTGGTGTTGCTGCTGCTCTTCTCCATGCTTGTAGATGTGAATGTGTGTGTGTGTGTGTGTCTGCGGGTATGCTTGGAGGATGGAGCTCAGCCACCTGCAGGCCTGAGGGGTGTGGCCCTGCGGAAGGACTGGCCACACCCGAAGTCACACACCTGCTGCTGATCAGGCCTCGTCGGGGGAGCTACTTAGGAGAGAGTTGGAGCTCCCACCGACGCGGGATCATTTGCTTGGGACTCCACGTTAGTTACCCAGTTTAGGTTTTGGTCGTGTAGTGTATGCCTGCCATTGTTCAGTGTCCTGACTACTGCCGCTATTGTTTCCCGCAGGAGGAGCGTGGAAGGCTTAAGGAGCAGCGAGCACCGGGAGTGCAGACACGGGAGCAGAGAGCACTTGGAGGACACGACACGGGAGTCTGGGGAAAAACACGGGGATTTATTGTTGTTTGATATCACCCTCTGTAAATAAACACTGTCTATACGTAGAGCACCGCGCCTGGGTCCTCCTTCCCCACTCCTTCCACGGTGTGCCATGCCGCACCGTGACAATGATACAAATATAGTATCTTAACTTCACATGTCTTACTCTGGTCTGCCTAGTTCTTAACTAATATAACAACATTTATTTATTATGGTGGCTTAGTTAAGCTTCCCCATCTTTTAGCAAGAAACTGAAGAGTATTTCAGAAAGAGATGTGCTCATTGCTCAGCATTGGTGCATTCATTGTAGAGTTGAAGAAAATCTGTGATGCACCACAGATTAAGTGGGAATAAAAATGAAGAAAAAAGTCAAAATGAGTTAGTAATTATGGGAAGAATCTGAGTATTGTGTTGTACAGCCTCATTTCAAATTAATGTTGACCAATCAGAAGGCAAGCTTTCAATGAGAACTTATCACCATCGATCGCAAAGACATGTGTCTTCCCTCTAAATCTGACTGTGCTAAATCACACTGAAGGATGAATGAGCTCTTGAATGTCTCACTAGGAATTCTTTACATTCTGTATATTGGGATGTCAATATAGGAGTCAGCTCAATTCAGGCAATAAGTGTAGACAGTGGAATCGTTCGATGAGCCAAAGTGAGCAACGTGTGGCTGGATGTGGGTTTTAGCATGAGCTATAGACAGCAGGTGGAGGTATGCTGGAGTCGTGTTCATGAAAGCACAATATCAGGATGAGCACTTAGCTGTGATGAAGCGATGAAGCCACACCAATGAAATATTTGCACTGCACTGCCAGCCTGTTATTTTTATGCATATTATGAAAGGCATAGTTATCCCAGATAGCTGTGTGCAACTTGAGGCTACAACTGAGCAGAAACAAGGCACCCACTCTAATAAACCGGTGTCTTCACAGACAGAGGAAAAAGGAAAAAGTCTGCTCATTAATTAATCTCCCCCCATAGTTGAGTGATGGACCAAACAGAGTCCGATCTGCACTCTGGCCTGTCAGCGACTACAGCTTCACTTCTAATAACCATATAACATCTCATTAAGAAAGACATATCAAGGATGGCGATAACTGAGCACAGTCGTTTGTTAGTCTGCCTCTCTCGCAGATGGACCTTTAGATCCTGTGACACTGAATTCATTAAAGGGAGAGAAAAAAGGATTTGGGGGATTGTGTGGAAAGGCTGTGCCAAAGGATGGAAGCAAGTCAAAGATATCTGTCCAGATTTGTGGGAAATTTTTTGCTCCCCAGCAAAGAACTAGATCAGAAGGCAGATAATACCAGTCAAATGTCTGTGTGTTTGGGCTGCCAGCCCTCAATTAATGGCCACAAGGAGCCCAGAATTGGATCAGTCCCGTAGAAATAATTAAAATGAAATGATTTGAAAGAGTGTTATGGAGTTGTTTTCTTGCACTTCAAATGGTGGGATCAACTGTTCGTGTTAGATTTCAGTTTTAACAAAAACCCAAATGAATAGAAGATTAATAAAGATGTGACTGGCTCATTCAGTCTGGTCTCGGATCGCTGCGTGAAACTGATGGGCACCCTGTTAACCTGAGTGTAAAATATCAGCGGCTGAGCAGGGAAGATTGCAATAGTGGAACCAAAGAGGCTTTTTTTCTGCGCTTAATGGAAAGTGGTGTGAAAATGAGTTCATAACTCGGCTTCACAAAGTGGATAATTTGAGAGCAGAAAGCAGCCTTTTTCACTGTTATCGAATGCCTTTCTTTTATCCAGGATGACAAGGACTTGAACAAATAGGGGAGAGAAAAATTAAAGGAGGAAACAAAGAGAGCTTTATTTCAGGGGCGACTTGTGTGTGTTGAAGATTTAAAAGCATGTCACTCATGTAACAAAATTCTATGCATTATTTTTCATTATTTATAATTTTACATTTATTTATAAATTTCTTTCCTTTTTGAGGTGGCTGTGACTCACACGTACCCTTTAATGTTGGGTGTAAGGTGTTACTGTAATCAGTCACACAGTAATGAAACTTATTACACTAAAGTCAGTTATTACGTGACAGCACAATTATGTCATTACTTGCATTACAAAGGTTCTTCAGTTGTCTGCACATTAAGAATAGAAAGAAAAGAAAATATATCAAACAACCTTTTGCCTCCTTTTACGGTCAGCTGATTTTGGTTCCTGTGCAGGAGGAGGGCAATGGTGGAGTGATCGACAGCTTTTCAGCAGTGGAGATAAGGACATTAGTGCAATGGTGAAATGAAAACTGTGTCCAGGACAGAAACAAATCCAGTATACTCCCGACACAACATCAACTAGACAGCATGCCAACACAAAGCTAGCCAAGAACTGAGAATGATGTTAAGGCTGAGTGTTTGCTGACCCGGCAGCCTGACCCTGAACTTCAGGTAACAAAGGCAGTGATGAGCAGCCAAGCTTGCAGCATTAAGGTGAGTTACTTTCTGCGGAAAGCAATTAATTAACATACTGCATTGCTTTTAGGAAAAGTCATTAGTATCATGTAATACATGATTTGTTTCTTGAGTAATAACACCAACATCTGTCGTCTGCCAACTGGAACGTCTGAGGATTGAGCCCTCAGCTCCTCCAGTCTGCACACGAGAGTAGGCTTGGGCATACATGCATTAAGTGTACATAAAAGTGCTTGTGTGTGTGTGTGTGTGTGTGTGCGTGCGTGCGTGCGTGCGTGCGTGCGTGCGTGCGTGCGTGCGTGTGTGTGTGTGTGTGTGTGTGTGTGTGTGTGCGTGTGTGTGTGCGTGCGTGTGTGTGTGTGTGAATGAGACTGGTAGTAAAGGGCCTTACTGAGAGGATTCTGGGTCCATCATCCAATTTTCAGTACAAGGCAGGAGCACTGACAATTTCATGGCTCGATCCAGGGGTTGAAGCGTATCACGGCCACTTTCTTATATATTTCAGGATGTCAGTGGGACAGTTTGAGCTCTTGCTGGCAGATTTGGGGCCACATCCAAGGAGCAAGAGAAATAATTTCAGAAAGCCGATCGACCCAGAGCAGCGTCTAGCTGTGTGTCTGAGGTAAAATAATATTATTTTACTACTTGTATATTCAATACTGGTGCACGCCTGAGCCTCTAGCTCAGTTGCAGCCAAATCCTTTGGTCTGATTCGTCAGATCTGTTTATTTGCAAGAGAAAAATTCAAAAGAAAAAAAAAGAAGAATGTGAGCTAAACGCTGCAAATTTGTCCAGTGAAATTACATGTATGAGCAACTTCATTAAAGAACAGGTGAGTCCGAAAAACCTTTTAAATAAAACATTTGACGATTTTTATTTTTCTGGTGTGTAAAGGTATTAAGAAAGCACTTTGAGTGTTTAACCGAGTACAACGGAGTTATATACCACTCCATTTCTCATTTATAGTTTTTTATCATTATATAAAAAGCTATCAGGCTTGATTGCAGTAATACTTAATTACTTCTTAATATAGATGATAAAACCTGATCATTTAAATCTATATGAGAAGAACCTCTGTAGCTAACTTCCACAGGTGTTTAATCATTTTCTAATTGAATAACAGAAAAAAAATGCAACCATATGAGAGGAAGATATAGATCACTGTAGAGGTCCAACTGAATAGAGAAGAAAACTCAGAAGATCAGCTGGATTCATAGCAGGGAAATTTGGATGCATGCAAACACTCACACACACACAGAGTTCTATGTTGTTCATTTACAAAAAGACTGAACACAGGCTTCTCTGCACTTCTCTGCACTGCAGCAGCGTAGCTACGCCTATATGTTGTCAGTTAATAACATGAAGGGCTGTCACTCCTGTAGGTAATAGCTGTGGAGGAAGATGAGAAACTAATGGTGTCACCCCCCTAGTGAGAAGAACTTTGAAGTCTATATAGAGGCAGACAGCAAGCTGACTCCAGGCACGCAGAGCTGTGATGCTGCTGTGATTTAGATGCTGCATCAACATCCAACAGCACGTTAACCCCTTCAGCAATCGTGACAACTGATGGTCAGCATCAGCCCCCTCCCCGAGATCAGCTGGTGTTTCTAATGTCTGTGTGTGTGTGTGTGTGTGTGTGTGTGTGTGTGTGTGTGTGTGTGTGTGTGTGTGTGTGTGTGTGTGTGTGTGTGTGTGCACTAAAGTAGTTTCCAGCAGAAAAAATGTTACGTATATGGTGTGAGATTATTTACATTTGATTCATTTTTGCTCCTTATTTTATACAAAATGTAACTTTCACGCAATGAGCCGAGGAGCGTCATTAGCAGCAGAACCATTTCTTCTGCCCTTTACAGTCAGAGAACATCTAATTTAATGCCCGAGGTCACTCTGACATATGTTTGATGTGGATATATGAATCTTCAAACATGATATAGGCTGTGTGAGTCTGGCTGCTGGAATACTTAGAATAATTTGACTCCATCAATTTGTTTAAAGATGTAGAAATGTAACAGGAAATTTCTACCTGGGTAAAATATTTTCATTGTGAACCTGAGAACTAATTATAGCCTTTTCCTCTGGGAAGGTGATTCATGCGGATATCTGTTGCAATGTCTGAGAAGGAAGTACCAAGAGTCTCAGAAACTAAGGTGTGTCTTTTGATCCTCGGGTGACTGGCATTATTAGTCGTTTACAATTAGAGTCATTTGGAAAGTTTACGTTTCATTTTCCACTGAAAAGAATTTAATATTCTGTCTGAAGTCTAAGCCATCATAGGTGATAAACCTAACCCTAGCTTAACCTAAGGCGAAACTGACTTGGGGTGTCCCCCATGCAGGAAGAGTTTAATGGAAAAAAGGGACATATTCATTCCAATTTCCTTTAATAAAAAATAGGGTTTGTGTGGTTTGTCTCCAATGACATATACAGTCACATGCAAATTTAGTTGAGTAATTCATTGACAAAATATATATTTGTAGTCATGTGAAAAACGAAGTATGCCCTTACTGTTTTCATAGGAATTAAAAAGGTTAAGTAAGATTAACTAAATGCACTTGATTAATCTTGATTATCAGCAGGTGTGACTCCCTCTATGAAAGCAGAATATTTGGCAGTTTGCTGGTGTGGAGCAGTCAGGTGTGTGTTAACACAATGATATAAACTTCCCAGCAAATTCATCGCAAGGTCAGATGAGTTGCACAATAATAAAAAGTAAATAAGAGCAGGCATCTCAGACTCTCAGCTCCCTGTTCAAGTTAATGACCATACTGTTTACCAAAAGAAAGCTTCTGCTTTCTGAAAAGAACCTGGCTGCAAGATTTAGCTTTGCCAAGCTGCAGCTGAACAACCACAAGATTTCTGGAAAAATGTCCTTTGGACAGAACAGACTGAACTGGACATTATTGCAGTCCACACATTTTCACATTTTGTGAAAACCAAACATGTCAGCACAAACACCTCACCCCAACAATCGGGAGCAGTGGTGGAGGGGAGATGAAGTGAGGTTGCTTTGCAAGTCAACCGTGAATGCTTCTGTATACCAAAATATTCTAGAATCAGGTGTGAAGCCATCTGTCTGATAGTTAAAGCTTGGCGCAAACGGGTTCGTGTAACAGCACAATGATTCCAAGCACTGCAGCAAGCTGCAAATAAAGCAAACATTCAAAATGTTGCCCAGTCAAAGTCCAGACCTCAACCTGATTGAAATGCCGTGTTGGGATGTAAACAAATGTCCACAACCCACAATAAAATGAGGTAACATTAAAGAAGAGTGGGCCAAAATTCTTCCACAGTGATGCGAGAGAGAGTTATACAGAAAAAGATTACTTCAAGTTAGCAATGCTAAATATGCTTCTACATGCTACTAAATCATAAGGTGTGATTAGTATTTCACAGAGCTGCATAGAGCTCTATGAAAACTTTTTTAAAGGACTTTTTTATGCTGTCATCCGATTTAAGTAAGGACAGAAATGTAAACTTCTCGTTTTAACACCGAGTCTGCAATTTCAAAAACATGATTACTTCAACTTTTGACATAAGCTGGAGGAAGTTTTTATATAACAAGTCAGATGAGTGGGCTCATATTCAGTGCTAGTGACTCACCACTCAAAGCATGAAGCATGAAAGCGTTGCTCTGCAGCAGCGCCACAACCAATACAAATCAGGCATAAAATTTGATCAATGTTTTACAATCAAATTGTTTCAAAGATGAATATTAGTTATTAGTTATATAATTATTGCTTTGCCATCTTGTGGACAAGTGGTGCTGCTGTACCTTATCTGGTTTTTCTGTCAGAGCTCCAGATCTCCCCTTCTCAGTAAAAATGTTTTTAATTGGCAATTTCTGCACTGCTGGCACAAACGTGAAAGTAGAAAGCTTTGACGGCACTCCTACGGAAACCTGTAGAACAGAGAGGAGGGGAGCAAATCATTCATATAGTATGGGAGAGCATGCTGAGTCAAGCATAAAGAGGCTTATTCTCAATTAAAAGCTAGAAAGCAAAAACAAGTTTAAGGAAAGATGCCGAGCGCCCTACGAAACGTTGAGTCGCTCCCATTTCTGATCTCTTTCTGATCACAGGGTTGTGTAACTATGCCCGACCACTAATTATCCAGCATCACACTTTCACACAGATGAGGCAATTAAGCACTCTACAGCTCAGTGGCCTGACACACATACCCTCAACAAGGAGTGATGATTGCAATTAAATCAGCTCCTGTTCTCATCAGCATCAAATAAGCAAAAGATCCTCCTTTGTGTTAAACAAACACAACTGAGAGTAAAACTGTAGCGTTTCCACTGCAGGAGTTTTCGTCACAGGGCCGGCTTTTATTTCCATATTTTGGGTGAGAATATTCATGGGTTTAGCGCTGCACAGCGGGTCTTTTGAAATGCATGTGACAGATGTAATCACAGCTTTGCAGGGAGTGATACTAATGGACCACTAAGAAAAAGCTCAGGAAAACTTCAGGGACCAGAGGCAGACTGATAATCTGGGCATTTTGTCAATGTCCAGAACATTCTGTGGGTTGGACATAATTACTATTCTGAGGCAAGAACCTCAGATTGACTGCCTGGAAGGAAATTGCCTAAATACTAATCAGTGCTTCTGTGTGTCTGTGTAACAACAAAGCAGTCTGAAAAGTCTGAAAAGTGCCAAGAGCTGTAGATCTTCAAAAACTAGTGAAACCCTCGTGGACTCTACAGCAGAAAGAAATGTTGGTCGCTGTTACTAATTTCCCTCTTCATGACATCTACACTGAAAATATTCAATAAGATGTACCATTTTAAAATGAATGAATTTCCTGTTTTAATATTTCAGAGATGCTGTTTTTTTCTCCATATTTTAACCACACGTTGAATTTCACCAAATATAATAGATTAAAAATGTTACCTTTTACGATTGTATTTATTCTTTTAAAGGTTTTTTTCTTTGCTTCTTTTTACAGTCTAGATAAGTCTTTATATAACTCTGTAGTTAGAATGGTAATAAGCCTTAAAATTCAATTGGCCACACTGACATGCGCGCACTGGGCTGTTTCACTCATATTTTATGTATTTTTTTTAAAGAAACTACATCGAAAGAAGCCGGTTAAATAATTTAGTAACTCATAAGGTCTGGCTCTGTGTTCACTCACCACAGCTCTGATGAGATACGGAGATAATAGAAAAAAGAAATGAATGCAAAACTAAGAAAGAAAGAAAGAAGCCAAACAGAATCAAGTGGCATTGTTTTTATTGTTCCTGCTATATAAATGATCAGCTCATCACTGTTATCCTGATGATATTTACCATTTCACAACAGCAGCTGCATCTATCAAGAGAACTAAAACTTGAACAACAACAGAGCCATGACAACAACAAGAAACAAGAAGGTGCTTGTCAAAATGTCAGTGTCATCAGAGAGAAAAACACTGAAGGGGAATGCACTAAACGGGATTATCATCAAAACAAATACCACAGTGTATCAGCTAGAAATGCTGTTAAGTGCAAGTTCTTTGGTGGACCAGCTGGTCATGGAAATGTCACAGATTCTGCAAAAGTCCTCCTGGAATCCACGCTGGAGGACACAGACACTTCTTTTTAAGGTTAAGCTTAAAGTTTAGCAGGATATTAAAACAGTAATAAAGCTGTGGAGCTGTCCAACGTTCATTTTTACTGCTTTGTAAAGAGATACGAGAGTAAATAGACTTTTCTGTCAAGAGTTAAATGACATATCACTCTTGTGCTAAGCTTAGCATAAATGATATAGAGAGGCAAAATGATTAACATGGCACTACCAAAATATGTTTAAAAAAAGCCAGAGAAGCCCATTATTAAAATACTTTTGTTTTGTCTCTGTTAATTTGTCATTTAAAAAGATTTTGAGGTGTAGATGATTGTCTTGCAATGCTGTGCTGTGCTGCTTGTCTTTACATCAAAGACTCAACTATTCTGGAGCCTCTACAGCTCAGTACGTATCACATTAGCTAGCAGTGATAATCAGCTGACTCTCACTGAGGCCACTCGTGCAGTTGAGAGGTGTACAAATTCAAATTTGGCAGAAAAGGATGTTTATTTCCACTTACAAAGCTGAGATCAAACTGCACAAAGTCATTCTACACATTACCCTGGTGTGTTGAGGCACTCTAAGTGTTGTGCATATATATGAGGAAGTGCTAACTTCCAGTTCCCTCCAGAATGAGAGTTTAATGGCGTTTCTTATTCTGTGTTTGTGAAAGTGTTTTTGTCTGCAGCAATCAAAGCTCATACACAGTCATCAAAAGTGTTTCTGCTGCTCAGTAATCGCGCTTCTCTGCTCAGTGTGGTGGGGTCAGCTGCAAACAGCAAGCTGAAGAGCGAGGCCGCTGAAGCGTCTTGCCTAATCAGTGGAGGTTATTGTAGCAGATATTTGAGGCAGTGCTAAAAATGGATCACAAAACCTTTGCTCTTCAGTGTTCGGAGAATGAGCCAAACTACTTTATAAAGGAGCTTGGATAGAATATTTACTCAGATAGTTACAAAACAAGATTTCTTATTCATGTTAAATGTAAAACTGCATTCCCTTATTCAGGATATCATTTCATTTATATTGTATGTCACGTAGATGTGTATTGCAAACAGTGGAATGTAAGTAGGTGTGATGTTTGAATTCCTTACAGGAAATAAAGACTTCAGCTACAGGTTTTTTCTTTCTTTCTTCAAAAATATCTTATTAGACTTTGACCCTGTGGAGGAGGTTAATAATAACTAATGATTACATGCAAAGTGCTGTATAAACAAATACTGTGGAGTGTGAAAAGAGGTGGGTGAAGGAGAAGTGTTTAGTGTGTCATAGGAAGCCTCCAGCACTTTAGGCCTGTTGCAGCAGAACTAAGTGGTTCAGGGTTACCTGATCCAGCACTTTATCAAGTTTTATTAAAAAAAAGGAAATTTTTAAGCCTGATCTTAGAGGAGGATGTGCAAATCCATATTGGGAGCTGGTTACACTGAAGATGGTCCTGAAAGTTGAAGGCGCTGCCTCTCATTCTATTTTATTCTACCGTATGAACCACAAGTTAACCACCAGTTTGAGAGCAAAGCACTCAATTAGGTGATATGGTACTATGAGGTCTTTAAGACAACGTCCTGATTATACAAGACTTTATATATGAGAAGGAGGATTTCAAATTCTATTCTGAATTTAAAAGGGATCCAATGAAGAGAAGCCAGTACGGGATATATATGCTTTGTCAATCTAGTCCCTGTCAGTTCTCTCACCATATTCTGGATCAACTAAGACAACCTGAAAATAAGGAATGAGAGTAGTCCAGCCTATAAGTAATAGTAACCAGTATCTAGTAATAGTAGTAGTACTAGTTTTTCAGCATCACTTTGAGACAGGATGTTTCTAATTTTAGAGATATTGCACAGTAAGAAAGCAGTTCTTCGTATTTGTAGTAAATATGCACATTGAATGACATATCCTGGTCAGAAGTGACTCGAAGATTCCTCACAGTGTTAATGGAGTATTAGGTTAGACACTATGTTTCTAAAAAAAAATTAGGGCTGAATTATAAAAGCAGGAAATGAGAGGCCTTCATGTTTTTAAGACAGTCCTGCAGTTTAAATAACTGGTGTATGTCAGCTGTCTTTATACATAAATCTGGGTATTATCTATCATCTACATAGCAATGAAAATGTATGCTATTCTTTTAATAATACTACCTAACATAAGCATGCATAATGTAAACAGAACTGGTCCCAGCACAGAATAGTTGACCTTAGTGTGTGAGGAAGACTCCCAGTTTACACGAACCAACTAGAGTCCATTAGAAACATATGATATATACTAGGGATGGACTGATCCGATATTACGTATCGGTATCGGTCCAATACTGACCTAAATTACTGGATCGGATATCAGAAAGAAATAAAAAATGTAATCCGAACCATTAAATATCAAAAAAGTACCTCACAAAACTTGCAAGGTGTGTAAGTTCATCTCTGAATGTTTGTAAAGCATTCCAGCGTTAAGCTTAACAACCATGGTAAATGGTAAATGGCCTGCATTTGTATAGCGCTTTTCTAGTCCATAGGACCCCAAAGCGCTTTACACTACATTCAGTCATTCACCCATCCACACACACATTCACACACTGGTGATGGCAAGCTACATTGTAGCCACAGCTGCCCTGGGGCGCACTGACAGAGGCGAGGCTGCCGGACACAGGCGCCACCGGGCCCTCTGACCACCACCAGTAGGCAAACATGGGGTTAGTATCTTGCCCAAGGATATTTGGCATGCAACCAGGAGGCAGCCTGGGATCGAACCATATATGGTGCGAGTGCCTCTTCTCTCTCCCTCCCTCTCCTGCTGCTACTTCAATCACGAAACTGATTAATGATCAGCTGATCGGCTTTTCTCTCTTGTTTGTTTATTGCCCACTTCGCACCAGAAAGAGAAAACCAGCAGCTGAACAACAGCAGCACGTTTAAGCTTGATAAGCTGTTGTTAAAATTTTAAAAACTCTTTGACCATTTATCAGCACTATATATTAGGTAAAAATTATATATGCATATATAGTAGTATAACTTTGCTGGAACAACACTTCCTGGTGCGATGCCCTCTGTTTTGGTGGGTGTTATGCATAAATAATTAATAAGGAAACTGAATAAATAACATTTTATTTGGGGGGGTGTCTTGGAGAAAATGCTTCTGATCATATTTAGGCTGCATGTTTAGTGAATACAGAAGCTGTGGAACTAGCAAATGATGAATTGTATGCAGTAAGAGCAGAGAGAGGGAAATATTTATTTAAACTGCAATAAAACAAGGTTCTCAATTTGCGTGTGTGTGTGTGTGTGTGTAAAAATAGTTATCAATAGTGGCATTTGATGATTTTTTTTCATATTTACCAGAAACAATATTAAGGTTAAGTTTAACACTGTCAGTACCTAGTCCAATTTTAAGTGCAATTTACCATTAAAACAACAACAATAATTTTGTTTTGAGTTTTGTGACATCTTAGACTTCTGTGGCCGTGAGGAGGTTCAGTTATATCCAACGTGCCACTAATCAGCTTTTTATAAACAACCTGGATAAATTCTCAGGCTAAAATAATCCTGAGTCATCACATTAACTTGTTTATGTACTTGTGTTATTATGAAACCCCCTTGTTTGTGAGTCCTCTGTAGTCATAGCAGAGTAAGTTTACATGGTGAAAGGTTAAAACAGGCATTTCCTACTTGCCTGGCGAAGCCCTCGTGAATGTTTGAGTGTTGCTGAGGTCATGATGTCCTCATGGATCACATTTCCAGCCACCACTGGCTTAGTGTGCTGCGTGTGTCCTCACTGTGTGCGAGTGCCATCACTCAGTTATGTCTTGTGGTCTGTCAAACCCGTCCCAAAGACCTTATAAAAGCTGCATTAAATCATCTCCTGAAGGAGACCACCCTGTGTGGGAGCCTTCAGGGACTCCCATAAAGTGACCTCCTGCAAAATGAAAACTCTGTTTTGAGCAATCTCAGCATTATGAATGAATGCCAAGGATGTTATGCTTCTTCAACATTATCACAGTTTTAATATCCTCAATATTGTGCACTTTTTGCATTTTTTTCTTTAATATCTAAAAATTTAGAGTTAACTTCTCACATATTGTTATCAGTCCTTGTTATTCACAGTGCTCAGTTAATTTCCATAATTACAGCTGTAAAGCCCAGACTGCTGTGTTCCACAGATGCTAAAATCCATATCAAAGCAGTACATGCTGCGCCACAGCACATGCATAAGGAGTTGGGTGTGCCACTAAGCAAAGAGTTTAATTACAGCAAACACACAACCCCTCCAGCGTAGTCTGTGCAAATATAGCTCACAGCCAGCTGCTTCAGAGCTCACTAGGCTGTTGCTCAAGATTATAAACAAATATTATCATTACATATCTCATACAATAACAACAGCAATAATTTTCAGTTAACGCCTGAAAATTTTAGGGCAACATGTACATGGATAAAAAGGCATGTAGAGAAAAATGAAAGTTTAGTGATACTGTAGCTAATAAAAGTCATATATAAAGTTCCAGCTATATATTAGCATTACTATAAGTTCTATTCTTGTAAGTTATAGTTCTGTTGTAGTAAAAGTTAGCATTAAATCACTGAGAAATTACTCTGAGTGAAAATGTGGCAACCGTTAGTCACCGGACCACTGAAAATAAACTGCGTCTAAGTGTTTATGTGTGTAAGCCTGGAGGGTGGTGATGGCTGGTAGAGAGCACAGAGAGAGTGTTGTTTAGACAGAATAGTGTTAATGCATTCAAATTAAATTCCTGGTTTCCTTTTTCTAGCAGGAAAATAGCCTTGAGGGAAATATTCTTCTAAAAACGTCATTTTAAACTAGCTCCACTGGAAGTACAAAAGTCAAAAGAAGGCAAAGGCGGGTCAGTCGCATCACTTCAGCTTTATAGCAATTACCCAAGAAGAAGTTTAAATGTCTTCAAGAGAAAAAAGTATATATATTTCCAAACCATCTTACCTCTCCCGTACTCAGATTTAAACTGTCCATTTCGGTCTCAAATGTCTCCCCATCCAGAAGTTTCTCTTGAGTCCAGACTTAATAAATGACTTCACATGGAAATCAAAGTAGATATGGAAAGCAGGATGCCCACTTTTCAGCTCCTCTCATGAAGTTCAAAGTGTATTACTGTTGGTGTGTGTATCACCCTGCAGATTTCCTTTTATAGACACATAATAGCCACAAATAGCTTGCAGACAGCAATCTGCCTGCTGGGCAGTGGTAACAACACAACAGGAGCAGCACACACACGGGAGAAAAATAGCCACAACTGTTTCATTTTGCTTTTGACTTTCTTTTAAAATAAACTCTCTCTTTTTCCTCACATTTCTCACAACTCAGTTGAGTTGATCCGGTTGTCACCCACAAATCTTTACAGTTTCACTGTAATAATACTACTTTGTCCGTAACACGGTTTTAGAAAGCATTACTTTTCAAAAAATTCAGTAATCGCATTACTGTTACTAAAATTACTGCTTCACAGTCAGACACACAAAAGAAACTGTGGGAGCTTTCTTTCAGTATTTTTCTTACTTTTATTGTTTTAGAGCTTCACACCCAACTGGTAGCTGAGGATGGCCCAAGTGTTTGCTTCTGATTGTTGTATGATTGCAAGGCATTTACCTTAGAATATAAAGTACCAAAATCAATAGAACTGAATTAAATAGGTTTTACATTATCTTTTGTTTTAGCTTGTGTCTATTGTAATTTGTATAAGTGTTTGTTTCCTAGTATTTCACTGTGCAACCCTCTGTCTCATTTCCATATTTATGCCTTGGCCCCTCTCCGATTCCTTGATAAGTGTTAGTATTCATGTCTGGCTTTTGAAAGGTTTGTTTCCTTTCCTGTGTTGGTGTTTCTTCTTATCGTCTGTTGTTAAATGTGCTCACCTGTAGTCCTCCCCCTCCTCTCTCCCATCACTCATCAGTTTCTTGAACCCTTAAAGTCCCTTATAGTCTTTCATCGTGTGTGATCCTCTGTGGATTTTCCTTGGCATGTTTCTGTGTTTCCCATGCATGCAAATTTCCCACAAATGGGACTAATAAAGATTATCTTATAAGGACAAGTCAGTTTTGTGGGTGTGTGTGCGTGTGGAGTTGAAGTGGATGGTTGGAGGGCTGATGGGTGAAGCAGACATCATCTATTACACATATAAAAAAGTATGTCTGTGAAGGTTCTCAGTCATCCAGGTCATCGTAGTCAAAGGAGCTTGCAATGAAAGGCGTCTGGACTTTTCACTTCTCATCCGAGAAGCTTCTTCAGTTCAGAACTGACGCTTTTCTTTGCAAGCTCCTTTGAATATACAAAAGTATATTGTCTGACAGAGGCCAGATTACAACAAAAAGAGATGAATGTGAAATGGATTATTCTGTGAAAAATATGTGTCTTAGAAAAAAAAAAGATTCAAAGGAAGGCGTTTCTGAACGTTTTGTTGTTGTTTGGCAAAGCTTTTGTATTAGCAGAGAACACTGAATAATAGCGCCTTTGTCCTATTTTCACGTGTAACCACCAAGAATGCAGCAGTTTGGTGCACCGAGGACAGCATTATAAAATTACTGTCATTTTTTGGAATGAACAACAATTATATACTTTTAAATAAAAATTCTATATAATATCAGATGATCATTTACAGTGTCCAGATAACCTAGAGTCCTGTAAGCCAGCAGACCAATGTGACATTTGCAATAATGAGATATCAAGCAGAAACAGAATTCATTACCCTGTTGCAACATCGACCTCCCGGCTCCCTTATCAGTGAGTGAAAACAGACCTCTGAAGTGGATGCTAATCCTTTACGTACACTACATTCTTCATTCCTGTCACAGCTGTTCTTGTCCATTTCCACCCTGCTGTCTCCCTCTTCCTGCCTGTCTACGGCAGAGAAAAACACATTAAGATAAAGCTTACTCCAACCCTGCTTCCTCTTCCTTTCTATTTTACTCAAACTGTTGTATACTCTCAGAAATATTGGAATTTTCTTTTATCGTGATAAGTATTCGACAAGTGCCCGAAATGCATTTTGAGTGGCAAATCTTGATAGCTTCAACTTTTAAATTACAGCCTCGAACGATAAATGTGATCGTGTTTCACCTGACATCTGGCATCCATCATAAGAGGGTGTGGGGGAGAGTCACATGTAGGCAGGAAGCATGACTCTTAGCTTTCATCTTTGCGGAGATTTTCTTACGAGTGTAGTGACACATCGATTTGGGTGGCATAAGTGAACATCAGCAGAGATGTGTGTCTAATCCACTTACAGCAAATCAGCATTTGAATTAGCAATTATCTTGACATAATGCTGTCATCATAGTCATTACTGCATTACATGATTACATTAACTCAGCTCTCAGATGTCAAACCTCGTGTACCCCTGAATGCTATCTCCTTATTTGGTGTCAACCATACACCTGCGCCTTTCAAGACTCTGATCTGCCTGCAAAATACTCAAAACTGCTTTTTTTCAGTAGTTCCTGCTACAGATGGAGTCTCCACAACTACATTTTCTCCCTCAAACAGACACGAACGCACGGCTGCAGTTTTGCTTCAGACACAGTTATTGTTCTTGACGACAGTGAACATCTTCAAGCTTGTGTTAGTGGTTGCAGTCGTTTGCACTATGTGGAGGAGATAAATAGTAAAGGAAATTTAAAAAATCATGGCTAATCCAAACAAACAGCACTGGATTCTTCTTCTCTTGAAGCCACTAAGGGACGCTGATTATGACGGCACAATAGTTGAAACACAAGCAAAAAGGTCTTCCCTGCAAAAAGCTTCCACGTGTGCTAATGATGGACCCAGCTGAGACATGCGTGTTCAGTTGTTCATTACTCTGTAACATTATGAATGCGTGCGGATGGAACTGGATAGCAGACAAGAAAACTGTGTTTTAGCGTTTTGACGTCTTTGAAGCTTTCACAAATTTGGGCTCTTTCTCAGTCGAGGTTGTGGAAAAAAATGCATGAATAAGATTTTCTTGCCTGTGGAGGCGTCTCCCTTCCCACTGGTTCATGTTACACATGAATGAATGAGCTCAAGAATAGTAAATGTTGTCTGGACTCAAGCGAAATGTCTTGTAAATTTTACAAATGGTGTTTAATATGGCGTTATTTTTCTGCCACTATTCTGAGCGCACGTAAAAAAAGAAATTGCAGGTGCAAGTGTTGCTTTTTGAGACGAAATTTATTTTACCTCATTTGAGTTGTGAACGAAATGCATTCTGGGATATTGCATTTCGTCATTTCGAGCTGATTGGAGACCAAAACAGTCAATCAAATTAGTTGCATCCAAGTCTGTACTTAGGGCCACTGGGGGGAAAAAGTGGGCAAGTCTTTTTTTTTTTCTTCTTTTCCTGAATTCTGAGAAAAAAGTCAGAATTCTGAGATTAAAGTCAGAATTCTGACTTTTTTTCTCAGAATTCTGACTTTTTCATCAAAATTATTTTTTTTCAGAATTCTGAGAAAAAAGTCAGAATTCTGACTTTTTTCTCTGATTTTTTTTCCAGTGGCCCTAATCCTCTTCCGTAAGTCTGGGAATGATTGGTTTTGTGGCACAAATATAACGGTGTACAGAAAGAGTTGAACGCTCACGGGCAGAAGTATTGAGAGCGCAAGCAACACATTGCGAGCAAGCGCCAATGCAAAAACTGAGCGATAGGGGCTGCTATTGTGTGTGTGTATGGACAATAGCAAGCACTGAAAAACATTTTTTGCCTGCAGCAATTAATTTCGTTCACTCAAATTTAGCTTTTCTTCGCTCAAAATAAATTTCTTCTCAAAATGCAACACTTGCACCTGCAAAAAATTTTTTACATGCGCTCAGAATAGTGGCAGAAAAATAACGCCATAGTTTGATTGTGTTTCTCAAAATGTATGGACATATTTTGGAAGTTTAATATTCAAAAATGTTTATGCATTTTTAAAACTAATGCATTTCAGATTATTTTGTTTTGCCTTATGGTCAAGTGATGAACATAGTTTGACAAAGTTAAACCTCAAGACTTGGGTTAAAATGGGCAATTAGTATGTCATTTTTATCCAGAAATGTTATTTTTGCTGTCAAAATGATAATTGTTGGCAAAATATATCGGAAAAAGCTTGCCAGCTAATTCAACTAATAAGAACTAATATAACTAATATGACTATATTAACTGCAAAGATGTGTCTTTAGACATAGCCTGCAAGGCAACAAGTCTGCAGTTAGGTAATATGTGCCTGTTATGAAAGCAATAAGTATATAATATACCTATATATATATATACGGTATACATAAGGCTAAAATAAGAAATAACTCTCCAAGGTTCAAAGCTATCCTGAATCACGTAAACCTAAAGTTTTTCATTATCTGAAGACTAAAAATCACTGCAGTAAATCTGACATTGTCAAAGGAATTTGTTTCCTACAGTAAAGGCACTTATGAAAACATATGCACTGTGACAATCGTCCCAGATTCACAGTTTATTATCTAGTCCTCCAAATCCATGTTCATCCTCCTCATCTCCTTCTGCGAATTTAAACAAACGCCTCTTGAGACAGTTTCAATAGACTCTGAATTGAATTTCGCACACTGGGTGTGCTTTCCAAACAGGTTGTATCCCTAAAGGAATATCACCCAGGAGTCATCACTACCATATGTTAAAGAAGCAGACAATTTTTTGTGAGCAAAGGAAGAGTGAAAACAGAAACAGAAGCATTGTGCAATCTTACATTTGCACAAGTAAACACGCCTCCTGCGACTCAGATAAAAGCCTCTTGGAATATTGATATTGCTGCTTTTTATTGAGAAAGTAACACGATGTAATTATGCATTTACGGTCCGAACATTGTAGGGCTGTGGAAGCGAGATTGCAGATTCCTCCTGCGATGTGTCCGTTCTCTCCCTCAGCTCTGCGTATAATCTCACAAGTGTGCGTTTTGCTCATACAGCAGGTGTGTGAAGATGAGAAGCGGAGTTCAGTCAGTCTCAGGTCTCTGTGGGATTCAGACTCCCTGCTGTGCACTCTGTTCATCCATGTAGCAATTTATCACAACGTGGGCTATAAAAGGTTTAAGGGCTTCACACTGTCATGGGCGGAGACACTGTGTGCCTCTCCGTCCATTACTTACACTCCGTGGTGTGAAGCAGAGGTATCCAGCAATCATTCGCTGTTTAAGTGAT